CTTATTAATAAAATTTAAAATATATTTAAATATGTTTATAAAAAGCTTACATAGGCTTAAGCTTTTTAATAAGAGTACATAAACTAATCTTAAACCCCCACCCTTGCGTATGTAGCTAGTAAGAAGGTCTAGCTAGACACTAGAAATATTTAAATAAACTAATAATTAAAGAAACTTAATTAAAAAAACCTTAGCCCTTTTATAGTAGCTTATATAGTCTTATTGCACACTTACTAATTAATCCTACCTAACAGCATAAAGATACACCCTGTGTTCTACATATTATTGCTGCGCTAAGCAGCCTCTAAATTTAACTATCTACCTAGACAGCTAAACCTGCCACCTAAACCTATTATTATAAATAATAAACTAGAATATATTATAAAAAACATTAAATAAATCTAGTTTAATAAGAAGAAACATATCTATAAATACCTTATAAAATAGACTAGATATAATAAACTGTTGTAAGAACCTATAAAAGCCCTGTAAGAGAACTCTATAGTAACCTAATTCTACACCTAATACCTATCTAAACTAAACCTATACCCTAACAAAGACAACCTAATGCTAGAACTACTAATGTAAAAGATTCCCTTCCTAATAAGGGGGGGGGTACTGTCACAGTATCCTCTCTAGATCTTAGACATAACTATATTAGACATGTACTAAAGTATTATTAGTGCACGTCTAACATAAACATAACACAACATAGACATAAACTTAAGCATAAACTGCTTTAACACTAACTAAACCTAGAACAGGCTTAATTTATACTTAAAGCGCTTAAACTTTTAAGCTAAGTATTTAATTACTAATTTCCTTCTAAACCTTCCTGTTCCTCACACAACGTCTTGTACCTACTATGATACCTCACGTAGTAATTGAACTAGACCTCCGTGAAGCTCTATAACCTTACTCGTGCACAATCGTGACAGCTATACTTAGCTTTTATATTTTTTATAAAGCTAAACTAGCTTTAAATTACTTTAAAATATTTATAAAAAGCTTTTTTATAGTTATGCTTACACTTAAACTTTACTTTAAGCTTTAGATAACACTTTATAAACATACTAAGCTAGTTTATGCTAATATAGCCTAGATTATGCTTAGTGTGTAAAGAATTAGCTATATTAGCTATAGCTACTAGCTAAAAGAAATTTTTTTATGTATATAGCTTAAGTATATGCTTAATAATTACTTACTTTTTATTATTACTTAGCTTTTATAAGTTAGCTATAAAATTAGCTTATTAGCAGAGCTTGCTCTGCTTATTATATTCGGGTTTGCAGAACAAAAAGTTGAGCAGAATCTCCTCTTTTGGACGCGCTAGTTAGTCAGAATTTCTTCGGATAAACCCCGGTAACGCTGTTTCTCTGTCACCTTATGTGTTTCTTATATTCTTTTTTGAAAAAAATGTATACCTAATGTAAGTGCACCTTTATGCTAATTTGCATGCAGTTTGCTCTAGCATGCGTTGTGTAAAACATGTTTAAATTATGGTTAGTTGCGTCTGTTCCACCTCTCTAGCCACATCGGTGTGTCGGGGATTGGCATCAGCCACATTGGTGTGTCGAGGATTGGCATCAGCCGCATCGGTGTGTCGGGGATTGGCATCAGCCGCATCGGTGTGTCGGGGTGTCAGATATGCGCACCTACTGTCAAGACAGGAGGAACGCTGGACGAAAGCTGCTACATAGTACGAGCAATAAGCTCGAACAGTATGTTGCTGCAAATTGCAGCATTTTGCAACATTTTGCAACAAATTGCAGCATGTTGCAGCATTTTGCAACAAATTGCAGCATGTTGCAGCAAATTGCAGCATGTTGCAAGCTGGTCGCGCATAGGGCTAGTGCGCGAGGGACTCAGACTAGAAAAACAAAGCTGAGCAACACAAGCAGAGCAGACAAAAAAAAATATTTAATTAATTAATATAATTAATTATTATCCTATACATTATATCTAAAACCTATTATTTATCTTAAGAAGCCTAGAAATAGTGCTTTAATCTAACAGCTTCTTTGCCTTTTTTCTGTTACTGCGCGCCCTAAACTTATTTTAAGCTGTTAAGTGTAGGCCTTTCTTAATGTAGCTGCCTTATTAGCTGCTTAAAGCTTAGTAATTTCCTATTACGCTAACACTAGCTTATGTGTAATTATTACTGCTCTTTATAAGGCTTTTTTTCTAGAGGCATTACTCCCCTAGAACTCTTTTTATACATAAAGCTACTTGCAACACAACTAATATCTACTAGGGATTGCTGCCTGCTGCTGTAATCTACTGTAGTTTACTGTAATTTGCTATAGTTTACTGTAATTTACTGTAGTTTGCTACAATTTGCTACAATTTGCTACAATTTACTATAGTTTGCTGCAATTTGCTGTAGTTTACTATAGTTTACTGTAATTTGCTGTAGTCTACTATAATTTGCTGTAATTTACTTTATGCATTTCTTAACACTGCTAGGTAATCTCTTACTAACACCTCTAGGCATTAGCCTATTATATTTAAATAGTAGTTAAAGAAGCTAAACTAGCAGTTTTATAAGTAAAACAGCTTATTAAGCTATTACATGTACTACATTAATCTTTGCAGCAATAGAGAGGCAGAGACAGAGGTAGAGGCAGCGCTAGAGCTCCCTAGCACTTTAAGAAATTCCTGCAGAGGCAATAAACTACATAAGCTGCAGCTCTACAACTAGGGCTTTAATACTAAAATAATTAAATTAAAGATATTAAGTAGTAGTATTAGGTGTAGTGTAGTAGTATTAGGTAGTAAAAGAAACAGGTCTAACGCTAGAAAATATAAAGTGCAAAGAAAAGGAAGACTATTATAAGAATAAAAATATGTTAAAAGCTAAGGCTAAAACGTTTTTTTAATTATAGCTAATAATTAACTAATTTCTAGATAACTGTTAAATAGGCTTTATGCTAGCTAGCATTTATAATTAGCAAGTACGTGCAAGGCAAAGAGAGTTGCACAGTGTACACATTACGCAGGGGGGGTAGCAGGTAACTAGTGTTAATTATTCTTTTTCTTCTAAGTCTATGTAAAGGAAAGGAATATTTATCTATTTATGTGTGCAACTATAACATAAGCCTATAACATGTAACGCTTAACAGCATATCTAAATACTTTTATTTAGACAATAACTAATCTTAAATTTATATAAACCTTTAGTTTTTAAAAAAGAAATTTTACTAACTTAATTAAAGCTAAAAATTAGCTAGCTATTATTTACTTTTAAGTATTACTTTACTTATAAGTATACTTTAAAATAAGTAATTTAGTTATGTATAAAGTTTTTAGCTTAGCGCCTATATACTTTTTTAAAAAGTAAAATAACCTATATTAAATAGCTATAAAAAGTGTAATAAGTAAAAAAGTGTATAAATAGTAATAATTTTACTATCTTTATAGTATTATAAAAAATAAAGTAAGTTATTAGTAAAGCTTACTATACTTAATATATTTAAGTTTATAAACTATAAAGTTAAGTAAAATCTTTTTTAAAACACACTAACTAGTTAGTTATAATTTTTTTATTAGTTTATATATTTTTTATATATATATTTTTTTTATAAAAAAGTATACTTAATATAAGTACACTTTAATATTAATTTATATGTAGTTTACTTTAGTATATGTTATATAAAACATATTTAAATTATAGTTAGCTATATTTATTCTATATTTTTTAGCTATATTAGTGTGTTAGAGATTAGTATTAGCTATGCTTAGTTATAGGCTATAATTATTTACATGCTATAGTTAAATATTATTATTATATGTCTATTACCTGTCTAATACTAATTTGCTAAGCATTATGCTACAACTATGTAACAGCGCAGGCAAGACAATAGGTCTAAATGCAGTAAGAATCTACTTAAAGGAATATTAAAGTGTGTGGGGACTTAGAACCTAGGAATGCTATTAACACCTATAGGCCTTATATAAAGGATATTAGAAAACTACTAAGCTAGCTAAGAGAAGAGGTGCAACTAAATACTTAAAGAAATAAAAGTAACTATAAAAAACAAAGTTAAGTTATAGTTAAAGCTAATATAAAAACTTATTAAATAAGTTTTAAGCAACCTAAGATATAATAATTTATAAAAATTATTATAAACTATTCTTAAACCTAAATAACCTACTATAAAAATAAAATAGTAGATAGCATAAATAGCACTAAAAGTAAGCTTTTAAAGAAAGATAGAAGTGTATTATAAGAAAAATAAATTGCTGCTAAGCCTTGCTTGTTAGGATTTATGCTTATATACAAAGCACAGGTCATGTGACCTCTAAACAGGCTAGGGGAGGCCATCCTATCCCGCTCTAGGACATCCCGCCTTACACCTACCTTAATGTGCTAACTATTGCTCTAAGCAAGCTTTGCTTTTACAGATCATTTATGAACTGTTGTAGTATTTTAAAAGTTATGTTGCGTTTGCTAAAAGGTTAACCTCCTAGCTAGCACAGCAGAAGAATATCTATAGAGGGATAGCTGTACGCGACAAGTTATTTAGTGTGTTAGTTATTTATTATTTTTTAAAAAACTTTGTATATAGTTGCAGCATGTTGCTTTAAGTATATTATGTTTTATTTAAAAGCTTAAAATATAAGCTATATTAAATTTTTTTTTAGCATATTTAAGTAGTGTTGTTAGGAATGTATTAGTGTAAAAAACATAGTTTAGTAGGGTCTTAGCATAAGTAACTTAGGTGTGTAAGCAACTTGCCTGTAGAGTACGTTAGCATTAAAGCTAAAAACCTAACTTTAAATAAAGTCTAGTTAAAAAGTTAAAACTAACTAGAGATTAAGGTTTTTTAAACTAAACATAAAGTAAAAGCATTAATAAACAGTAGTTAATGCTTTCTTAGTAAACTTTAAATAAGTTTATAAAATAAAAACAAAGTTCTAAGTTAAAACAACCTTAAAAAGAGCGTCTCTTATAGATAGATTCATAACTACATATGTAAAAAAACTAGTAAACTTCATAATTACGCTAGTATTATATTTAAGCAGTGCTATATTAATAGCACCGACTATTGATTGGTTGTGAGAGGTGACGGAGGGGCATCAACGGGCATGAAGTTCCTTTAAATCAACATACAACCTGCCCTAAACCTTCCTCCTAAAATCACCGACAATGTTTCTCCGTCCTCTATCTGGAATCTACTTAGAAGATGTGCCGCACAATATCTACAATCGACACAGCTAAACATATCACAACTTCTCAGTCTTCTTCGTCTGGATGAAAAGATACCTAGCCTGCATCAAGATGTGACCAAGCCCGTCCTCAATCGTTGCCTTGGCCCATAGTTTGCGCATATCTGTCCATTTCTTCCCCTTCTTTTTTGCTTCCTCCTCATCGGCCCATGCCCGAATGAGGCACACCCCTGGTGTTTGAATGCGGCCGCGGAGCTTAATTTCAATGCTGGCCGTAACAGTGTCGGATCCTACTCCTGTAGCCCAACCCATTTTGCGAAACACGAGCAGGCCCATTCCTTCTGTAAATTGGAGCGATTGTTAACCAAGGCTTTTTGATTAAAAAAAATGGGAAGGAAAAACCTGGCAGAACTCATACCGTGCCATTTGTTCCTTCTCAAGTGCTCTTCAAGTAGCATCGAAGGGGAATTAAATTACAGTAACACCGAAAGGGAAAGAACTTACCGTCAATCAACCCAGCACACATACCTCCATGAAGAGTCTCAGGATAATAGTTCATGCCGGTTCCAAGTGAAACGAGTAGCAGTGCTTGACCGACATCTTCTCCTCTGGAGTCTGACTTCCACATTGCGTGACCAGCGCGTACGCCAGTGTCCGTATTTAGTGTCTGGGCAAACAACGAACATGAGTGGTCTTCAGGTAGAGGGTTCGGACGAGAAGGCCAGGGTATGGTCTCGATGGACGGCGATTGAATAAGCTGTGTGCACCAGTCCTGGGATTGAAAATCCTGATGAATGAGAAATTGCGACATGGTGAGTTTGTTCAACCAGCGCGATTGAAAAGGGCAATATATACGATTTGGGTTTTTTTATTCTAGAAACGAATACTGAACATGTATCGGCAATAGGCCGTTGAAACTTGCGTCTCATATCTTTAAAAAACTACATGAACTATGATCCGTGGCCCTTCGCGATCCTACCGTAACCTTCAATGGCTGCATACATGTGGCATAGCAGGAACGGTGCGAGCGCCTAGTCGCCGTTTCATGGTCTCGTTTTTGCGCGGTTAAATTGACATCCACACCGAGAACTCCAATAGAATCCCTAATTCCACTGGCGGCGGTAGATTATTGAACTGTGCCGCTGCTGTGCGGCGCATTCAATTAAATTTCAGACTCTAGTGAGTACTACCACAAAGTCGGAGGCGGCAAGGTTGTCTGCACCTATCTTTGATTGACTACTGTGTAGGCGAAGCAGCCATAGGCGAGTAGATAGTACGCATACGACTGGTGTGCTAGCGACCAGGGATAAATGCCATTGGATGTAAGTTGCTTGAATAATTGAGAAGAGCAACGTAAGAACGGGAAAAGCTAATAATTAACTTGACTAGTTTCTTCTAAGTGATTGGCTTGCATGCAACTAGAAGACTATCCAACTAGTCTCTGTATTTTGTCGCACGTGAAACTGGTTCACGTGACCTAGCGCAGGGTGAATGTAGGTCGTTCACCTCTCACCTCTTTTCTGTTTAGGACTTAGCGCTCTTTTAGCTACTATATATTTACCTCTAAGCTCTCTCAAGCTCTCTCAACCTTACCCCTCACCTTAATATACCTAGGTCGTCTCTCATTACCTAATTAACTGCTCTATGCTCTCCACCATCCTTCAGCTCTAACCCTGCAATAGTTATAAGCCTAGCTTGCAACTTAACTATCTATTGTCACTGCTGCATATTTAGCTATCACAGCTAGCTAACGGAGGGCTCCGCGAGCTTAATTCACGTGAGTCAACCACCTGCTCCTCTACTAAGCCTAATCAATCACCTTCTTGTCTATACTAAGCATAGTTTACTAAGCGCAGCCTGTAGGACTACAACTGCTTAACATTCTTCTTGTCTACACTAAGCATAGTTTACTAAGCGCAGCCTACAGAACTACAACTGCTTATTAATAAAAAAACCTGCTAAACTTATATAAGCAACTCTCTACTTTATTAACACACTCTAATATAACCTTAGTGTCGCGTATACTGAGAGCCTTGGCTGGGGCTCGGAGCCTGGGACTGGGGGCTCAGAGCCTGGGACGCAGCTCGGGATCGGGAGATATTATGTTCTGAAGCTCGGTGTATATAAGGAGAGCCTTTGGCTCTCTTAGATAGCAGAGTCACTTTATCTAATCTTCTGAACAGCTACTGCTAGGCTATTTTATCCTCTACAGTTATAGGCCTAGCGCTTTAAAAACCTAGGACAATTCTCCCTGCGTAACTATAGCGCTAGTAAAAGCTGTTTAGAAGCTTTTTTTCTTATTCTTATTAATCTTTATTACCTTTAAAGCCTACGTTATAGCTAATTAAGATGCTCCTTTTCTAACAGGAGCATACTAGCTTAAGGACTATGTAAGCTAGCCTCTCTAGTTTATCTAGCTCTAGTTCTATGCTCTTAGCAAAAACCTATAGGATATGATTAATCCAGATGGACAAGACGCTCTAAATCCTATGGACAGCGCTCTAGAGATGCCCACACTTAGAGTGATTACTGCTAAGAACCCCCTAGAGAAGGCCAACACACAGTACTAGACTAATATTGCTGAGTACTAAGCTTAATTAAGTGACTGGGCTTCCTGCGCGACGCGTCTTTAGACAATCTAGAACTGGGTTAATGCAACTGTTGCACTAGAGCTCCTAGGACCTGCAATAATGCAGCTTGTGTTAGAGAACTAATCCACCCTATAGGCACTTGTATAAGCCTTAAAACAAGAGCTAGCACTAATAGACGCAAGCACAAAGAATCTTGTATAAGCAGAGTATAGAGCTTACCTTACTAAGGTAAAGCATAGCACTATAACCCTAGAAGCTTAGTACTAGCAGTGGCACTTCCTGTACACTAAGGCAAGGACCTATAAGATTCTTAACGTGGAAGGCTAGCTAGCCGCACAAGACTTCCTAGACGCCCTAGCTCTAAAGCTTGCACTAGACTGGGCGCGCTCTATGCACTAGAGGGTTATAGAGGCTAGCGCACTTAGCAAGGAACCTCTAATAATCTAGGAAATTAGTAAGATCTTTTTAATAATGCTCTAGGAGCACTCCCTGCGCGTAAGCAACTAAGGCATAGGTATATTTGCGACGCTTAGCAGATAATTAGACAATAATTTAGCCTAATCTGTTTTAGCCTAATTAGGCCACCTGTGCCTATGCAGAGCTTTAGGGCAATCCCTTTATCTATAGAAAGCGGCAGACTGCAGAGACCTTATGTTAGCAGTTACTAAAAAGCTAAAGAAGCTTAGTAAAACTGCACACTAGAAGATCCTTAAGAGGCTTAAGTAGGTGCAGCATAAGAAAGTAAAGGCTGTACTGCTTAAGAGAGGCTATGTGATTTTAGACGTAGCCTCCCCTACTCTAAAAGCTATTAAAGGATTAGATAAGCTAGCATTTCTAGGAAGCATTGTTGCTGCACTTATTAACTTAGCGCTCCTAGTAAAACTAGAGATGCACGCGACTATAGATTTTAACGCTCACCTACTCTTTATAAGCATAATTCTAGACAATAGGAGTGCTACGCACTTAGTAAACAGTATAGAGCTGCTTGTACTTAGGTTATTTAAGAAAGCTTAAGGTTTACACATAGTAGAAGCTAGCACTTAGTTATTTCTAATCTAGGGAACAGGAACTAGAAAGCTTAGAGGGGTGTTAAATAGAGCATAAAGAGAGCGCATAGAAGATCTTACACTATAGGAGGTAGTTGTAGTAAAAGGATTTTATGTTAATATTATCTTAGAAGCTTGTTTAAGAGAAAAAGGACTATAGTATTTAGAACTTAACTATACACTGCGCATAGGCACACTAGAAAAGAATAGGGTACTTGTAACACTCTACTAAGAACACAACCTTATGTTTATTAAATATAAAGCTGTCTCTTTCTACCTACTAGTGCAGAGTGTGCTCCTAGATTGCTAACGCTTATGGACCACATTCCCACGCTTAGACTCAGAAGAGCTCTGGCATGCGCGCGCAGGACACCTAGGCCCTAAAGCTCTGCGGGCTCTGGTTAAAAGCGTGAGGAACGTACGAATAACAGGTACAGAGTGAGTACGCTGTGAGCACTGCGCAACAACACACGCTAAGCAGGTTATATTAAGAAGACTAAAAGAGCAAGCTCCCCGCCTATTCTAGAGAATTGCATAGGACATGTTTAATATGCCATTAGGGCGCAGCAGAGCTCTATAGATAATAATTGTTAAAAATAAATATAGCAGTAAAATCTTTTTATACTCTTTTTAGGTAAAAACGCTCTTAGAAATCTAAAGAGTAATAGAGAACTTTAAAAGCATAGTGTCTAATTAATACAAGCTCTAGATTAGTAAAATACAGCAAGACAATAACACTGCTACACTCCCTTAGCATAGAAAGTTAAGGTATAAGCTCTAAGTAAAGGAATCTAGCATTAATATTAAAAGCTCTCTACTATACACTTATAAGCTAAATAGAGCTGCAGAAAAAGCTAGACAAGAGATAATTATAAAGTTTATTAAGATAAAGAGCAGCGCAGGACTCCCTAAGAAGCTCTAGCTAGAAGTAGTAGACGCAGCAACATAGCTGTACAATATAAGCCTGTTGCACGCACATAACCTACGCTTACTAAATAAAGTCTTAGATGTGTAGTTTACTAACTACTTTAGATACTACAAGCTAGAGTAGGTAAAGAGTGCTACAGCTAATCTAAGACCTAATTAGAGCGGGATCTATGCATACGGCTGTCGCGCCTACCTACTTAACAGGGAGTAAGCAGCTAGGCGTTAGAAGCAAAGCTTTAAAGTAACTTTACAGGGCTACATAGAATATCTTATAGGCTACAGAGCCTTAAATATCTACAGAATATAGGTCCTGTTGCTTAACTAGGTAATTACTACAAGAAACATAGCTTTTAATAAGACACGCTTTTATAAAGATAGAGGTAACAAACTAATCTTCTAAGAAGAAGCCTCTAAGATTATTAAAATTTTTAATAAGTAGAGTAAGATTTGTAATGCAGAAGAAGCTTTTAAGCTTTTACCTTAAAGGTTAGATAAGCAGCAGAGTAATATACTAAATTAGAGGCCCTAAGAGCGTAAGCTTAAAGGTGTAGAAACTAAAAAGCTTATTAGAACTTAGGTTAGCTAGCTAGAGGATTAGCACTTAAAAGTGGAAGTAACTGCGCAGGTGACAAGTATAATAAGTAAGTTACTAAGGATTCGCGCAGTTTCTAATAAACATATAGCACTTATTACCCTAGAGCTGACTCCTAAGCCAGAGCTTGCAGATAGCTCTACAACACGCCCTATACAGGGTAGGCACAAGCATACTAGTGATCCCTGGCAAGTGCACTTAACTAGAGAAGCGGATCTACTAGGCTTGTTAAGTTAAACAGCTAACTTGCTAGTTAAAAAATTAACCCCTGCCTCTTGCGCTAGGACATTGTCTTCTGTGGCTCTAGTTAAAGCAGGTAAGGCACCCTCTAAACATGTGTACAACAAAAAGAGCTAGGGACTAGCCACACGCATAAGCTAAAGAATACAGAGGCAAGATCCTAATAACCTAGGTAAGCCTAGGGGTGCAGGAAGCAGAGGTATATATACAACGCTCTTAGAGAGAAGCAGCATATGCCTAGCTCTAGTTAATCTAGAGCACCTTTAAATAAACTTTCTTAGAGCATTTATTGCTTACAACAACAGAGCGCTTAAAACGCTCTACGCAGTGTTTTCTGCAGCTGCCTTTTTTAGGCAGCCTTAACTAAGAGCTTATAAGCTCCTAAAGGAACCCTTAAAATAAAGAGATCTATATAAACACTTATATAGAGATCTTTTTAAGATTGCAGCACAGAAAGAGATAGCTACCCTGCTTAAGAAAGGCACTTAGAAAGAGATTATGTAAACTAAAGCAACGTCTAAGCTGCTCCTACTAAAGTAGGTCTTTATGTACAAATTTAACTAGAATAGGTATTTTGCTAAATGCAAAGCTTATATTTGTGTACGCAGTAATCTCTAGAGCAAGGACTCGCTCTAGTTAACCTATGCTGCCACTCTTGCAGCTAGATCCTTCTGAACAGCAATAGCGATAGCAGCTTAATTTGACCTAGAGATTAGGCAATATAATGTTATAGGCGCGTTCCTGAACGCGCACTGCAAAGGCAAGCTAGAAGTGACATGCGAGCTCCTAGAAGGCTTTACAAAGCCTAGCATGTGTGTTAAGCTTCTCTAAGCCCTATACAGACTGCGCAACTTGCTAATCTTATAGTACTAGAAGCTCTTGTAGTCTCTTTAGAAGCTTAACCTTATTTTATTTAAAGAGGAGCTGTGCTTATTCTTTAACTGCAATTGCTATATCTTGCTTCTCTTTTATGTAGATAACATACTCTACATTTATTACTACAACAATAAGTTAGAAGCTTACTAATTAATTAGTGCAATTAAGGAAATGTATAAGCTAGAAAATTAAGGGCTATGCAAATAGTTTCTAGGGATTAAAATAATTAGGAACAGAAAGGCTAGGACAATCTAGCTAGTACACAACGCGTATATTAAGAAAGTAGTAAAGAAGTTTAACCTTGCAGAGAGCGCGCTCTTCCTAGGGACTTCTCTACTGTTAGAAGAGCTTACAAGCAACTAGGGATTAGCAACAAAGCATAAAATTAAGGAATACTAAGAGCGCGTAGGATTAACACTCTACACTGCAATTATAGTGCGCCCTAACGTGGCGTTCGCGGCATCTTAGCTCTCCCACTACCTAACAAACCTAGGAAAGCAGCACTTCTAGGCAGTGAACTGGGCGATTGTGTACCTGTACCGCACAAGGCATACAGGCATACAGTATAGAGCACTAGAAGGCGCGCAACTTATTATGTGTGGAGACGCGTCTTTTGCTAATCACGCAGAGACTAGATAATTATCTTATAGATACATTATCTTACTCTTTAGAGGACTAATCTTATAGAAAGCAGCTCTCTAGCTGACAGTAACTATGTCTACAACAGAAGCTGAGCTGCTTGCTCTAGCGCACATTATAAAGAAATTGCTAGCTTTAAAACGCTTCTTTAAAGAGCTTACCCTAGAGCTAGGCACACTGTGGCAGATCTACTGTGACAACTAGCAGACGATCAGGTTAGTAGTAGAGGAGAACGCCCAGATAACCACCTGCCTGCGCCACGTCAATATTCAGAACATGTGGCTGCGCCAGGAGCACGCGAAGGGATCTTTTAAAGTGCGCTATATTAAAACAAGCGACATGCTAGCAGATAAGCTTACAAAGCACCTGCTAAGGCAGTAATTTAAGCACTTTAAGCAGCTTCTTAACCTTAAAGACACGCAAACAAGCTTTTAAGGGGAGAAAGCATTAATTATTAATAGCAGGGACATCTCTACACTGCCTAGGAACAAGAGGGCTATCTACTAGCAGGGACACTCCCCCATGCCATGGAGTTTGAGCAGGGATTTGATACATGAGATGCGCGAAAACACAGAAAACACAGAACGCCTAAACCATGAGGAGATTGACGAGCTCACCCAAGAGCTCCTTAGCGCGCTGACGACGCGCCAGGAGCCCAGAGGAGACGACACCCTACTCCTCCTCCTCCACCTCCTCTTCCACCTCCTCCTCCTCCTCCTCCTCCTCTTCCTCCTCCTCTCCCTCCTCCTCCTCCACCACATCTTCCTCGAGCAGAGCTCGAAGAACCGGCCGAAGCCGGGACGCAGCCTATAGCCTGTTAGTCTGATCTAAGGTATGACGCACGATCTCTACAGAGAAGCTTACCCGCTCGTCCTCCGCGACGAGCGCCGCAACAAGGCGCCGCGCATACACGACGGCGACGGGGGGACTGCAAATAGGTCAAAACTAGATCACCCCACACACTGCTACGGGGCTTACAGGGGCAGGCAGCTGTGCCCGGAGGAACAGCGCCAACAGCGCGAACCGCCAGTGGCGGAATCATGGCACTCCCCACTGGAGCGCCCCGCGAGCGCACTCTTTATGCAGCCCAGACAGGACTGCGCGCGGAGCGCACCAGGGGGAGGCCGGCGGGGAGTCGAGGCCGGAGCGGGGAGCGGGCGCCGACGGGGGGTGGGAGGCGCGGGCTGGCGGGGGGTGGGCGCAGGCTTGCTGGCAACGCGGCCCCGCAGAGCGGCGGCACGCGAGCGGGCGGCTCTTTTAGCTTTATTGAGCTTCATACACACGTTAGCGGAGATTGCAGACAGGTTTGGAGTTGTTCTTGGAGCTCTTAAAAGCATTAACTTACACGCGGCATGTTGTTGGGACTTACAGAAGAGAAGCTCGAGGAGCAGCAGAATTTATTTACCTCTGTTGCGGCGATCACGGCACGCACGTGACCTGCGCTGCCTAGGGAAACGATCATCGCGCTGCCTGGGGCAACGAGCACAAACACAGGGTAAACGCGCAGCGCTGCTCCAACAAGCCAAGTTGACGCTCAACGCAGGTGAGCTGCTGCGCAGCTCACCTGGGGGGTGTGTCGCGTATACTGAGAGCCTTGGCTGGGGCTC